GCGTCTTTGTATCTGTTTTATATACATATATATATATATATATATATATATATATATCTATTTTCTTCTTTAATGCATTATTTACCATATTCTTCTTTCTAATCCAATATTTGCTCTTTATTGTTTTGTTTAATTTTTTTATTAAAATAATAAATCCTTATTTCACGAATTACTGATAAGACATATATTCAGGCACCAGTTTTTCAACAAGTTCTAACAATATTATATTAAAAAATATAAATATCTAACTGTATATTTTATAAAAACTATCATCACGTATATATATAATTAACTTCGAAAAATTTATTTTTTTGTAATATCTTGCGGCTTTGTAACTTTTGTATCTCTTACTTATAGTACTTGTATATTTTATAGTTTTTCAAAATAAGCGGTTGCTCCATAATTCAATTCGAAATTACAAACCGAGTTCCTACGTGCCTTTTATTCTTACTCATATGATTTTCGAATACAATGAAACGAAGCTATTGGAAAGTATTCGTGAATTCCGTTCAACTTTTGTCATAATCCGTAGAGAGGTCCTTCGAAGCAAGAACGAAAGGCTAGCCGGGTAGCGACAAGGGTCTCTCCATGCGCTGCGCGAGAGATGAAAGCGCGCGCGCTTGGGATTACGGAGTCTGCGCAAAGCGAAAGAACTCACCTTTCGGGTGACACGCGCACTTCCGCCGCCGACGCGAACAACGGAAACGCGTGCCGGAAACCGCGTGGTTGGAAAGCGCGGTACAAGAAGTAAGATCACGAACACACGCGCGATAGATGAAAAGAGGATGTATCGACGCAGCGCGAATATATTCGTACGTTAATACGCGACGCGCAACAACATGCCTTACCTCGAGAGCGGCCGTCGCGACACTGAACGTGCCGCAGACACCTGTCGCCGTCGACCGACAGTGCCGCCGCCGCGCGGTCGAACCCCTCTCTCGTTCACGTGGTGCGCACCCCGAACCGCGATACTAATTCAAATAAAACATACTTCATCTTCACAAATTATGAATCTATAATTTTTCTGTAATTTATTGCACGTTTTGATGTTGGAGTTAAAGATATATGTAGAATAAATATTTTTTTTGTGCATGATTGCTCTGTAAACGTCATTTTTAAGATTGTTATGTTTGTTACACTATGTGTGCGATCGTAGAAAACAATATTTAGTAATTGCTTGCTTTTATTATTTTGTCTTTTTCTTAAAATAAAATACGCATTTAAAATCTTTATTTTAATTTTTTTGTTAATAGATGAAAGAATTTTATTTAATTTTCTTATTTTAAAAGAATCGTTCTTTATAGATATACCTCTCTCAAAATAAGTGTCAAGTAATTTTCCGAAAATTAAAACTTTTTATTACGTAGCAAAGTTCAAGAATTTTAAATAAGTAAGCTAATAGGAGGAATTAATATTTCGATATAGACAACAAAAATTCAGTTAGCATTATATTATATTATATGGAAGAATAAATCTATCAGTGTTAAGTTACAGAAAATTTATTGCATTGTTTATGTCTGAAAACTAGAAGTAAGTTAATATTCTATTAGTTATTATAACTCTTTGTCTTATCGAGTTTTAAGTGTTTCAAGGAAAAATTCTTCACAGACATTTTATTATTAGTTAAAGAATAAATCTTTTCTTGTTTAAAAAATAATATACAATATAGTTCTTTCATTATATTATGCAAATACTTATCAAAATTTGTTGAAAGCTCTATTATATATTCTTTAAGGACTAAGAGTACGTTACAATTTGGAGACTGTATAACAGTACATTACGTATTCTTACTATATTCTTACTATATTTTTAATCTTGCTATAATAAATATATATAATAAATATAATATGTCATTAAAATATATGTCATTAAAATAACGAAAATGTAAGCGATTATATCACGGTTACGTGGTAACGAATCCTCATAGGGATCTCGAATGGCATGAAAAGAGATGTTGAGCCTATAGAAACGTGGAGAGAGGTTCATTATGCGAGAGAATGCTACCGTTTCACTCACAATAGTAGTTCGCAGATCATAAAAATAGAAGTGACTTCTGCATAATTTTAAAATGATCAATTACAAACTTCTATATATTAAAGAATTTCATTAATATGTAACGAAAATTGAATTATCTCACAGAATGACTTTAAACGAAACCAACTGAAAATATTCACATACAGTCCCAATAAAAAAAAAATCATCTTTAATAAAATTTGTATATGTGCGTAATATAAATAAAATTAGTCTTCATTAAATAGTGCAAAGGAAGTTTGCATCAAATTTTAATAAGCTAATCAATATTTTAAATTTATAAATTGTTATATAACTGTAAACATAAAATATACGTAAGATATAATTCATTTGCCATAAATATATTTATCTAGTTTTATATTGCAATACATATTGTTAATATATTGTTTTATATTGCAGTACATATTGTTAATTAATTAAATTCAAATCTGTTTTTAAAATTTTAAATAATAT